TTAGAAAAGACCCACCCTTCTTTGTCTAAGTTCGTCACTAGAGCCGTCACAATTGGGACCTTCCATCACTGCCACCATCACAATCAAAATCAAGCCTTTGAACGCTACTACTATCTTTTAAATTCCAACGATATCACCATCAATATTAATATAACACGTGTTACTTGTCCCACCAATACCACCATCAACATTAATGTAGTAACTCGTGTTACCAACCCAAACATGCTAATCTCACTTGGGTTAATGCAAAAGGAGGCAAAACTTCTGTTTTTGGGCTAGGATAATTATGGCAAAACCACTTTGCTTTATATGTTAAAAAGTAAAATTGCCATTTCAAAGTTGTAAGCATCCAACAATCAGTTTCAACATTATGCTCACTGATTTTCAACATTGTTCGGCAAGCCAAACAATTAAATCATGCCAACACCGAGTACCTAGAAATTTGGAGCATGTTTAGCAAAGTTTAAATTATAACCACACACCCCAAGATTCACAATTCCTACCAAACAAGCACTTAACATGTAGTAGCCAAACAACTCATTCTGACGCAGAACCTACACTCGACATCTTGTGGACAAATCAAAACTTTGCTATGATATTTTCGTCACACTGACTCAAATAGCAATTTCAATCAAACTAAAACCTGTTGGAAAGAGCTAAATTGACTTTACCTAAATGTATGCGTATCTATTCGAGCATGTGCAACAACTATAGAAGTCACTAGTTACCATTTGCATTATTAAGAAGCTCAATCAAATCGATAAATTTCTAAGAATAAGACTTCATCCTTAAGAAAACCTAAACAAGTATAAACGCGGTGAACGCACTTATAACCACCATAGAAGTCACTGGTAACTAGCAACATTATTCAAAAGCTCAATGAAGTCGAAAAGTTTCAAAGAATAACACCTCATTCTTAGAAAACTTAAACGAGAGAATACCTGGGGCGCATGTATAATAACTATAGAAGTTGCTGCTAACAGGCATCATTATTCAGAAGCTCAACAAAATCAACAAATTTCAAAGAATGACTTCATTCTGAGAAAACTTAAACGAGAGTGTGCACGTGGACACATGCATGACTACTATAGAAGTCACAGCTAACCAGCAACATTACTCAGAAGCTCAATCAAATCTACAAATTTCAAAGTTTTAAACTTCGTTCTTAGAAAATCTAAACAGGAACATGCCTCTGGGCTTAGATATAGAAGTCACTGCTAACCGGAATCAATATTCAGAAGCTCAATCAAATCTACTTCCAAGCATAAATTCCACCACACCCAAAAAACTGGGGAGAAAATTCATAAAAAATCACGTATTCAGTCTTGTATGAAAGTACCAGGAACCGGGCAGTTATCATAACAGCTGCATAATTCACGACAACAAGCATCCATCAGCTAGCTATCAAACCGGAAAACAGAAAGGCAAAGAAAAATTCTCTCACTATATGCTCAATGAATTTCAAATTATAATTCTCTCACTATATGCTCAATGAATTTCAAATTATACTCCCGAAGGAAATTGTCATAACATTCAACAAGATATTATGTGTTTTAGTAGCTCAGACATCAATTGACAAAAAGGGTTCTATAGTAAAGTGAAGTTACTGCCAACATAATTAGATATAAGAAAAAAACTTAATCACTATAGAATCAATAAAAAAAAAAAAGGGAAAAAAAAAAACCCAAAATCCAAATATGCCATTTGCCCACTATCAGAAAATGGGTAATGGGCAAATTTGCAATTTAAGGTTACTCTTCGTCTCCAGCAGATTCACCACTCTTCTTGTTGTGCTTCCTTGCATACCTCTGGTTCCTCAAAAACTTTGGATCCATCTGGATATCAAATTACAGAAAAATTAATGAATAAAATCACAAATATTCAAATTCACTCTCATAAAATAAATTTGGTGAATGAATTTCAACTAACCCCTTTGGTGGAGGTGTGGCGTTGGCGTTTGGGTTTCTTGATTCCATTCTTGTGGGCCTTGTGTGACTGGTTATGGGCAGTGTGGTTCTTCGATTTCGCCATTTCTTCTCTGCACCGGAAGGAAAAAACAAAGATTGATTCAAAATGTTCATCCTATATATACATACATTTCTATATCCACTGATGGAGAGAGAAATAAACTCTACGGAAACCTGGTGGTTGGAGGCGGCAAAAGGTTGCGT